GTCCGTAGTCAACTTTTTCGCGCTATAGAAAATCGGTACGCTGAGCTCAGACGCGACGCTCTACCAAGCCAAACCAGTACGACTGTATGTTCGCGTGCTGGTTCGATACAACGTCGATTACTTCGTTTAAGCCGTTGGCGGTGGCGCAAAAAGAAACTACGGCAACGCCGAAGGTGATTGTGGTTGCCTATTAAATTCGCTCACCTGCTGCTCTATTGCTCAGCAGATTGGCAACGAAACTGCGACCACCCTACGTCATCACGGATGTTCTGAAGTTTGTCAACGGCCCTCACACTGATCAGCAGCTGAGAGAGGGAAAGCGATGGCCGCGCATGAAAGGGTCGCCATCGGCAGGCAAACAGAAGCCTTGTGTCTAAGCAAGTGGCCGCGCTCGATCGGGAACAGCGGCTCATCTTCGCCAGCCACGAAAAGGAGGAGAAAGTCAACTGGATGGAAGGGAAAGATTAGCCAGCCAGCCAGCGCGTAGGAATCGGTGCGTGCGTATGCGAAACACATGGAGAGTATTTTGTATAGGAGGCGGAAGGCGCATAATAATCAGAAAGAAATTATCAATAGATCAAGGAAAAAAACGATTCGAATTCGTAGCAAGAACGATGCACGGTGAAGAAGACGTGTGTTCTAAAAGCAGAGTGAGTGAGCTGCACGAACGTGGCATGTAATCCGTCTCGACTCCCCGCACAGGCAAGGTCAATGAGAATGGAGAGACAGCGTGATTTGGTGTTGGTCGAAGTTCGATCAGGGCAGCCTCCAGAGTCGGGGTTGACTGCCGTAAACATATCAATTAACCGAATGGTCCCATCAAAAGCTATTTCTATATTTGAGCTATGTAGTGTGCCTAAAGATCATGTTTGTTTAGTATAGGCCTGTTTGAGCATAAGCTTGTTTTAGCACTGAGATGTTGGCAAATCTGCTTGCGGATGGAATTAACTGAACTATTAGCAAAAAACGACATGCTAAATTTGGGTCACTTAGCATTGCCATTAGTACTGTCCTATCACGCCTATTACTACCATCCATGAAGGAATTCAATCAGCTAATAAAAGATCGTCCGGTGCGACTAGTAACATGCTATAAATATTGTTCTCTATGTGAATCTCGCAGCGTGTTTTACCAATGTGTCTTTAAAGAAAAAATACGACAAAGAACTCCATTCACAAACTTGCTGTCTCGATACCTCACCACTGTTTGTTCACATGTATATACACAGCAGAGTATTAACTGTATTTAGCAAAATGTGTAGTTCTAACTTTATTAAGTTACTTTATTAAGTTGAGTTAGCCTTGCACTGTAGAGGCCTCCGTGATACGGCATTAACGCTTTCATTATCATAGGTTAATTTTCTAATTATTAAAAGGTTTTCAGGCAAATCTAGCCGTGTCGATAGCTAGTATAATAACGGTAATTTTGTTGCGTTACCCAGCTACATCTAAGTACGAAACTTTGACGCTTTTTAAATTAAATTTTCAATGTTTTACGCAGCACACCAGAAAGCCGAGAACGTTCAATCACCCCCTTGCAAAATCGGCTAGATATATATCGAGGTGGTTAGCGATAATTTTAGTATACCTTAAATAGAACACGCATATTAATGTAATGTGTTACAAATGTACGGGCGCAATGCGCTGTCTATGATGAACCCTGTGGGGTGACTTCAATGCTAGCCGACCTCTGGAAGCATATGATGTTGGTAACAATAAAAAGAGCTGCGTATTGAATAGGTTTATCGCGTTGGAATATGAACATTGAAATCCCCCATTGATACAATATCCTCGCATTGAACAGGGTTGAAAAGTAATACTGGCCAAAGTTCGGCAAATAACTGGAAAGTGGGAGGGAAGAACACAAACTTCAAATAGTAGGATCTTCCAATTGGTCATTTATCATCGGGTTGCTTTATCGCCTAACGTACTCGGATCAAGCAGCACGATCGAATGCTCGTCGTTTAGACTCACCAGTGCCTCCAAAAATAACTGTGTAAAACGCTTTTTATGCATGAGTAAAAACATTACTATAATGATAAAGTATGATCGGCTCATTATGCTCAAACGTCCATACTGACGATATGCATATATAAGGAGTAAAAAGGTTTTCAACTTAATACATATTTTACTTAATACAAGCCAGTTCTAGGATATAGATGCAAGATTATGTCGTTTTAGAGCGGGCACCATGTTTCGAGTTTTACGTCCGGAATCGTTATTAGGTGTTCCACCGCTCGGCTGGCTTCCAGTTCCCGAGGTGTGTCTATGCCCAGATTCGGATCTCGACCGCAACTTGTTTCTAAGATTAGCAAACAAACTTTTCTTTTTTAGTAGAAACATGATGCGTAGATCCAAATTACGCTTACTTAATTTCTGGACATTTTTCATGGTAGCAAAGGGCTTAACTAGTGTCTCCTAGCTACAGATCCGCATGTTGCTCTGTTTCTGAGTCCGTACTTACTTTACTACCCCATTTTACTTCATACAGAATCCATCTTAAGCTACCGGATCATATATTTGCGGGTTTCATGAGTAACAATTTCCATGGCAAAAAAATACAAGGTTTTTTCAAATCGGTTTGCAGTTTTTTGATCAAACTAGCATCTTCCAAGCTTACTTCCTGCAGGTCGATAGATAAATCAAATTCTAATTACTTTTGCCGATACTGTATATTGTATCTATTATTACTTTGGTTTGTCGTGCTCATAGTTCCATTTTTATCGAAGAAGGCACCTCGGGAGAAACCTTTGTTACTAGGTCCTCACGTATACAGAAAAGGTTGGAATGATCGATGTCAGATAACACGAAATATTGTGCTGCTGCCTCGACGCATCGCATAGCCTATAGAAAAAGCAAGTTACTCATGATCACCATCTCTAGTCAAAATGGCTAGGATACTATGCTATCAAATGGTAAAACGTTTTCTTTATGCTTTAGCATAGGACTTCACTTTCAGCAGCCATAAAGTTGCAAGAACGCGATGACTTCACTGTCCTTTGACCATTGCCCATAATATTCAAGAGAAACCATTTTCATGCTCTGTTCACTTCGAAATGCCGGCTTCAACAACAAGAACTCCTTTCAGTCATTTTTTTTCCTGTCATTCATAACGACCGTGAGGCACAACACTGCAGCTTTTATTGATGATAATACTGTACGAAAAGCGGACTCAATATGTATACAAACACAGTACAGGTAATGGTCTGCGTCAAGCGAATACAAATCTGTGTTGTCACGATCTCCGTACTAGAGATACTTCATCCGTTGCTGCTCACCCCAAGCTAGATGCAAACTGATGACACGTAAAGTATGGAAGTAAAACGAACAATTAGCTATGGACTATAGGCGAAATACCAGGAACGCATTAATGATTATAAGACACCTAATGCTGACGGGTATGATACTGTCACACTTACGCTGATGACATATACACAATTATAAAGTAGCACTTGTTTTCTACGCGTCATGAAAAAGTGACTCGTTGGCTGCCAAATATTAATAATAACAAGCATCGATCTAATAGCATTTAATAAAGTGTCTAGTGTGAACTGTAAATTTGTAGTAATATCTTTAGAAAAGTTTTTCTCTACCAGGCTGAAAATCACAACTTGGAACACTTCTCTCAAACTGATTTTCAATGTGAATCAATAGTAAGAGCAGCACAAATTTCGAATTTTTTTGCCCTGAAAAAGAAGTGCGTTACGGAAAACAATTTGGCGCTACCTTAGTAAATATTTCAATAGCAGCTTACATAAAAATCCAGCTACTTCATTATTAAATTGCTACAATTTTCGTCATGGAGCTTGTAGCGATCGATTTTGCGTCACGTGTTAATCCTGAATAACATGCGAGACACCTAGGCTATGCTAGTTAAAGAGCACGTAGCTGGCGAGAATCACTTTTTCCTGTCGGAGCATGTGTGGCTAACTAAAAGAATTCAATAACTGGCTATATATATATATATATATATATATATATATAACTAAATAATTTTTAGATGACTTTTAGATTGATTAAGGGCTTCTATATTATCAGTCTTATTGTAGTATCCAAGGAGCTAGGGTAAAATCTTAAATGTTGTTTGATATCCACATTGTTCGGCACGATTATCTACATTGCGTGGAAAAATGAGTGGGTATCATATTATTTTAACTGTTGATGCATTCAATGTGTCAAATGAAAGTTTTAGTCTTATTAAAATGTTTCTAGTTCTTTGGTCATCGAGGTTTTAATGGTGAGCCTCCTCAACGTTAACAATCTGTTACACAAACGTCATATCCATGCTGTTGTGATGGGTAATGGGTGACGGTGGAGGAATAATGAAATGCAATCATACCAGATACTCACGGTGCTCTTTTTCTTTCCAACAAATGACTTATATAAATTCAGCGATAAACAGTTGACACTGATCGGTTCCTTTCGCACTCCAGCTTTTTTTTTTTTATAAGAAGCTCGTTTTTTATGCTATCATCGATCAAATATTTGACTTCGTAAAGACTAAACTCTTGACGCTCGTGCGGCTTTCGTAGTAACACGTGACACGACATGAACTATTATCCTCATGATAACATGAAAGGCCTTTGGAAATACACGATATTTAATATATCGATATTGTGTTGTGTGCTCGGAAATCTTTAGTAGGCGCCGTATATCGTATGCATAAGTTCAATTCCGGAGCCTAGAAACTCAAGAGCCATTAATATTGATATAATTAATCCAATTACGTTTGGAAAAATTATGTTCATTAAATTACTGCAATGATATTTAGTTACTCGTTGAGAAGCAAAAGGAATTATGCAACAGCGCCTGGATTTTTTCGAGATCGCTATTCTGTTACAACGAGCATTCATATTTTGAATCGTGTGGTATTACATCATTTTCTATAAAGGTCATCGATAAATATATATATATATTATATATATATATATATATATATATAAATCATATCTTATTTTTGAGCTTTTTGTTGCTAAGATAAGGTTAATCTCCAGGCTCTACATTTTAATGTAATGTGTTTCTAATATATTTCAATTCTTTATTTTTTTTTTAATTTTATTCAATTCTTTTCCAAGCTAGAAACCAAAGTAGACAAATAATCTACTTTAAAAAAAAAAAGACCTCTTAGTTATCGTTCGCTATTCTCCGTCCAAATATGGACAAACTATATCTCGATTTGTGCAAATAATCACAAAGCAAAATTATTATTCGTAAAGAAAATTAAAGAAAAACGCTTTTTGCTACTGCTTTCATGCTAATAACAGCAGCTAAGAGCCCACGTAATTATTTCCACCGTAGCGAGAAGCATTAATTTATTATATTTATTATAAAAAAAAGGTATCAGGCAAGGCTGAAGGATACGATCCTAGTGAACTTCAAATTTCGTGTAATAAAGAGTTTTCAAGCAATTAACCTAAATATTTTAATAAACTACTAGATAAATACACTATGCGATACTCCATTTTACGCAATACAGCTTGCTTTCCTCTGGAATACATTTACAAAGAATCATGTACTTGGGCACAACCCTATTCTGTGTGTCAACGTAAAATACTACTTTTATAAGCTAAGACGACAAATATATTTAAATCAAATTGGTAGTATATGGATTTCGCCCAGAATACTCTGAAACGCTTACAAATCAGACAATATTTCATACGAATCGAGTGGCGATAGAAATTAACTTATTGAAATCGTCTTTTTTTGCGCGTAGACACATAGGCAAAGGCGCCAGAATCCGGTTGCCCAATGGATTGCCCGTGTCGTCTATCAGAACGACGTTATTCGAGTCAAAACGAGGTCGCATCACTTCTTGTTTCTTCCACTTTGCTCCGACGAGAATGCCCTTTTTCATTTCCCCCTTGATAGCAAGAAGAACCCTGTCGCCCAGCTGAGCTTTACCAACATTATTGTATACGTGGATTACCTGAAACAAGCAAGAACAGCATTCAAATCGAGAGTCACATAGGCGCTCAGTACTATTCAATATCGACTACGAAAGGTATTATAGTACTAAGCTGTTACAAGCGAGTTCGACGGACTTTAATTTAAACTTTTTTTTTTACTACGCATCGATCGCAGACGAAATTTGGCTGGTAAATACTCCAGTCTTCTAAAAACTTGTGAGTAGAAACCGGCCAAGTTTACCCAACGAAAAATAAGTTCAAAAGAACACACATTCTATAGTTTTGAAAATCAATGCTCAGTGGTTAAGTTTCTGCTTCCTGAAGGGCACGGCATTGCGGAAATTAGAAGGTATTAGGCAAGGAGGCCTTAAACAAAAGGATAATACGTAAATAGTGCACACGATTCAAAAATTGAGCTTGTTATGTTGGAGACCACGAAGAAGGTGACCAGAAGTTGTGACCTGAAAGACCAAAACGCATTACCATGATCGAGCAAGCTTTTCACGAAAGCAGAACTTGGAGCGTAAGGGTACTCTACACCAAAAATATTATTTAATAGCAAAGATGTAACGTGCTACAGAAGTATGACCCAAATATTGGTAATGTGTAAGCTGAGTAGAAAATAAGTCCGCCGCGAATTGACTTCAGACCAGTTGGAAATGCTTATGATGTACCCACGTATAATTTCCGGGAATTTAATAGACGAAAAACGGTCGCCATAAGCGAGGCACGGTTCAATTCCTACCGTCAGCCAAAGAAGGACCAGGCGAGAGAATAACGTCGCCTTAGCCCGATATCTCGACCTTCTCAAGAGATTCATAGACCGTTTGCATGGTAATCAAACGAGCGAAATCTGATTACTTGATCGCAACCTCATTGCTATGCCTCAATTATTTTTTAGGTTGAGTGAAAGAATATCTAACGTTGACCTTAACCTAGATCCATGTAATTACAGGGTTTCCTTACCTCAAAATGGATAACTGATGGGAACATAACCCACTCTATTTATTTCAAGAGTCGTATTTTGCGAGAATTTATATACGAAAACTTACATGACAGGTATATGGCTGCCCAGATATTCAATTTCAAAGTCTGCCGAGTTCGTTTATAACAACTTAATATCATAAAACAAAGAAAAGCAAAATATCGTCTGTTTTTGATAAGCGTGTGTGTACAAGCTGAATGTTATATTTCACCGTTGTATTTTTCGCTTACATTTACCGTATAGCCTGTATATTTTCTCGTATGAAATTATCTATAAAGATCAATTCTCTATCGATTATATATATAGAGCCTCTATAGAACCAATAGTCGACGTAAAATTTATATGATCAACGTCCATCAACTATCGAAACCTATCCTTTTGATAGACATCGACCGATAGCAACCAGTTTGATTGTATTCATTCCAAGGAAAAATAATACACTAAATATAGTTTCAAGCCATACACTCGCTACTAGACAAAAACATCTTGAATTACACACAAAAATACTATGTGCAAGAAACATCTATTCTCTGCGATAAATACCAACCTTTGGAGGTTTACCCTCTAACATGGCTTCCTTGCCCAACTTCGAATTGTCAACTACACGTAGTCGACACATTTTCTGAATATGTTGCAAACAGCTTGTGGTGCTGTAAGAAATATTTAGACGAACAATTTGAATAGAGATTCTCTTTACAAAAGAAGTCTAACTTTTCCTGTAGGTGTGTACCCGGTCACTATGGGTGAGTCAGGGGTATGATATGTCGTTGCTGATTTAGCACAACAGTTCAAAATCACTAGTTGAATATACGTTGTTAATTGAGTGTATGTATGATAAAAAAAATTAGCGATAATTTACCGGCGACCGGTTACGACTGATCGTCACAATAAATACGGTTCATCACATTAATACGAAAGTACTAATATTTGATTATCCTATGTACGAACCTGAATGCTTGCCGGTGCATGGCTCCCAATATTGCTGACATTATAACATGTAATAATACTCACTATTGATGTAGTTATATTCTAAAATACAACAATAAAAAAGTTGAAACAGTCTTATCTCACTGTGCGCGATGTAAACATCCTAACATGTAAACAATAAATTGTCCGGGATGAATGAACGGATTTTTGTCTTGCATCTTTACAGCGGGCACTCCTAAAATCAACTCGAGAAAATTACGTAACTATTTAATTATAGGTTTTGTAAAATAACAGTGCAAATCAGTTTGGCAGAGATTAGAAGTCACCTTTAGCAGAACAACTACGCTATATATAGCTGGGATAGCTGTCCCATGTCTGCTTAAGTATGACCCTAAATCCGCTTAAGACCGCAATCCGACCTCGTTCAATCTTTGAAAATAACTTCTAATGATGTTCGTTTTTCTTTACTACACCACGCTTCTCGTGCGGTATGGGTGCCGAAAAAGTGTTGACCGCTTTTAAGCGATTATTTTTTTATTTTAAAATAATCACTAAATTAAACATGCGCCATTTTTATCGATGATTTTCTGCAGTTCTTCTAGTAACACCATAATCTCATTATTGTAGACCACTATCTTCGTAGTTTGTAGAGGAAAAAGTGCAACGAGTAATTTCTACATCCCTCTATTGAGACTAAATTAACACCACTAAGTTGCTTCTACAGAGACCGAAGCAAATGATAGTCTGATGGTGCAAAATTTGGGTTATGCAGCAGATGCATTAAAATTTCGCATATAAATGCTTTTAATTTTTGCCAGGTAGCTAACTGTAGGTGTTCCAGTGCGAATCATGGTGGCGCTTCTTTTGTTCAACAATTACAGTCGATTTTTCCAAATGACCAGAGCACTGCCACAAATTGTAAAGTACATTTCTTTTCGGCTGTTTATTTTCACATGGTTATTGTATATAGTTTCGTATTAATCAGCCGTGATCAACCGCTTCAGAAATGGCGCGATTTCATTACGTATTTATAGAGTTTCGCAAGTGGAAAGTGAATGATTTCTTGACTTCGAAACATGTAGTTCCTTTTTTCAGGCAGCTTTTTTTATGTAATTAGAACTGTTTAATGGTGGGTGTTTAGTTTCTTGGTGATACCACGGCTACTTAGTCATCGGTCTTACTCAACTTCCGCAATATTTTAATGAATTTTTTTCGTAATCGGTTGACTACCACAAGGAGCATCCTTCACACGGAGATTTCCAGAACAAAAACGACGAAAAAAAAGAACTATCTTGACACCGTTTCTTTTGATATGCATCCTGATCATACACAGCACCATTTTTTTTGTGCGCCTATGTATGCGTAATGAAATTAAAAAATATAGCGAATTTTTGCAAAACATTCACTTTTTTAAGGCTCTCCACCTTAGTTTAAATAAGGACATTCCAACATATTTATTACAACCAAATATTCGTTTTTAAATGATATCTACGATTCGACGGAGCTTAGATTATTTGAGGTAAATGACTTTTTCATCACCTAGATAAAAAACGGTTAATACTTCTTCAGTAAACTAATACATGATGCCCTAAATAACATTATTCGTAATTGACAGTTGTTAATTCTTTTTACGTTGGTGGCGTCCCTTGGCGTTTACGACATGAATATACCGGAGATAACAAATACAAAAAATTATTTTTTTCTATTATTAGCTATTAATATCTGACCTATTTATTGCAATCAGAGCATCGACGATGGACTAAAAATAAAGAGAACATTCAATTACTGAATGGCGGGGGACTAACAACCAGGTTAAGTACTCATTATCATACCTATAATACGTGGTCATAAAAATAAAATTTCGTGTACATTCATTATGGTGGTTTCAAGTAATTACTTACGAAAGCTACAAAAATTTGTCGAATACATTTGTCGAATGGACAATTCAGATATTTTGAAGTATACCCGGATCAAATAGCCGTTAGTCTGCTAATCTAAAAAACCTAAACCTATCTATTAGAAAACAAGCATAAAAAAATTTTTCACCGATATAGACTATGTAAAATAACACCATTTTTCATTCCATAGCTAGTTCTGTATTGGTCATTTTTGAATTTATTTATTAGTTATATTTCGTTATTACGTTAGACAAAAATATCATCCTTCTTATATATGTTTTCTGTACATTTTCATATTTGTTTTTATTTGTGTGTCATCGACCGTCCGTGGATCGACAATCTGTACTTGACACCAGCAAAACCTCTCTTGTGTGTCTTACTACATTTCACAAATGGTCTCCTAGTTTGTAATGTTTTATTATCCATTATTTTTTCTGACACAATTTGCTCCTTTGTTTTCGGTTTGCTTCCGGCTATCGATATCGGTCGTCTCGATGAATGCATAGGCAAAGCAGAGACTGATACATTGGCATCAAGTTTTTCTATATATATATATATATATATATATATATATATATATATATATATATATATATATATATAACCCCACCCCGTCCAACATGACGTTGGCGTCCTCTTCTAGACAAACGGCAAGAATGAACTACAATTATAGCGATGATAACATACATAAAAATAAGCTGCCTTAATTGCTCAGAATCGGAGCAAGAAACTTCAAGCATAAATCCACACTTAGCATTAAACATAAAATATTTTGGCCTATCCTTAGATCTCCGCCGTACTTTGCATTGAAACGGAGAAACAGGTCATCAAAACTTTGCCGTACAAACGGAGACAGCTTTGCTCTTACCTTAAGATTTTTGCTGGTTACTGGCCCCTTGGAGGAAAACCGTCAAATGTAATGAAGAACACGTCACAGTTGTTTCTCCCTTTCTTATACCTATAGCAATATCCGTACATTTTTTCGTGTTTGTGAGTGGTTGTTGTCGTCGTATTTGATAAATAACATACACCATCCCGAATGGGGCGAATATCGTGATTACGGCATGTGACGCACATTTCTTGACGAACTATTTCAACCCTTCAAAAACCTGTCCTATTGGACTTCTGGTTGTCGTCATGTCACCACTGTTTAGCAGATTTTTAATAAATAGCCGAGCATCTCACAGGCATCACGGATTCATGTTTAAAAAGTGCAATAATTTTACGATATGATTAAGTAATAGCCGCGTCTACGAATAGCGTGCTTCTTTTGTCAGGTTCTACAATTTCGTGCTTTAAACGTTGTTCGATTATTTATCAGTACACATGCCCCAGTTGCCCTGCTCCATATTTGCCCCCTATTTCAATACATTCACAGTAATTACGATCGTTTGTGTCAAGCACGTCATACAGCATATTATACAGAACATAGTTATGTGTGTATTTGACTCTTGACATTATTTACGATCTATTGTGTCACGTACTTATATATATCGGCATTATAGTAATCATTCTTACATGTATATTTAACTATAACAATATATAGTAATACGACCAATATAAACAAGTGGATAATGCGATATGTGCTATTAACCTATTTTTGTTTTTCCGCTTCTACTACATCCATATCTGTCTTGTTACAAATGTATTTACAAATCTGTTACGGATGTTATCTAAATTCGAAATTTAAAAGCAAGCGAGCATTTGCTTTTAGGCCTTTTTTCTGAATAATCTGCATTTGCTTAAGTTTGGCTGTTCACTGCCTCTCACTTGAGCACTATATCATTCAGTCTGCACTCGCTTTATATAGCTGTATCACCTTCGTTTAGTTATTCCAAAAGCTATTCAACGTTATAGACTTTAATTCCTTGCTCTATAAAATATGCTAACCCGAGCTTCTTAGAGGGTCGCTTGCCTTTTGTTTTTCTACACCAGCCTTGTATTTGCTAACAGTCGTCATACGCTTGATCTTTCATAACGCAGGAGTTTACGCTAGTGAGAAATTTTGCACGTTCGCCGGGGGCTGTATTTTCTATTTGTTTACGTTTCTATAGACCGGTCACAAGGAAACTGAACGGACATTTATAAACCAAAGAGAATATAACGCTTCTTAGAACTCAATTATCCTTTATGAGTTTGTTGTTCATCGATCTATCGTCATATCGCCACTTACAACTATATAATTACACGCACATATATAATTATAGTAATCGTAATAATAGTTCTACAATATACATTGAACTCCACAATAATCATCGATTTTTTATTTCTCGTCGAAAACTTTAAAACACCTGTTTTATCTGTCAGACTTAAAAAACATGTTTCCATTTTGTAACTCAATAACATTCTCTGATGAAGCTCCCGATTGCTGGATCTTATTTAGAACAGTCACTTTTTTCATATTCCACTTTTACGGGCAAAATCTGCCATAACGCCATTACGTTCGTTGTTTACGTTGCATTTTTTTTGCATTTGTTTTTGTGGAGGCGTGATACATTATTTTCATTTTAATGTTATTATCAAAAGTTCTAAGACAGAGCACACGGTTAGAGGGAGAAAGAGAAAACACATTTCGTTCCATCACTAAAGAGGGTTTTCATGAGAGACGATTTATAAGAAAACATTGAAAAACAACTTGTTCTCGTTTATTTCACCATAAACAACTTATAAGGACGCTTCCTCAAGGAATACCAACGTTTTCGTGAATTTTTTGTCAGGATAAACTTTCAACCCCACGGCTTGCAGTAAACTGTTGGTATTTTCGGAGTGGGGATGGGGAGGGGGAGGGGGCAGAGCGGGAGTTTAGTGCCACAACACATTGATACTACTTGTGTTCTGTTTCTAGCCAACTAACAATGCACAATCAGTCAAGTTCTTCAAAAAAAAAAATGGACAATTAAGTTAGTTTTACAAAGTGGCAGGGACGTAACGGATTTTGCGCACAAGCCCATATCTATCCAACAAAATTATTTATTCGCAATATGTTTTGACACAAGAGATTCACAAAGATGGTCGTACGTGCCAGCTTTGTTTTCATTGTGTCCGCATATGTGAACAGAGGTCTGACTAAATAAAAGTAACCTATTAGCACTGGGTACGCGCTTCGCACCTCTCGTTAACAAATCATTCGCGAAATTAAGCACAGCAAAATGCCCCCACGGAAAGGCACAACACAAGGCTAGATGCTGAGTTAACTGCAATGAATGGACAGACGTATGGCGTGCTTTTCACGGCCAAAAGTGGCATATTGCCACACCGCAACAGCGTCTTAGTATTCATCCAGGTCGGTATCGTGGATCGCTTGACAGCTTTGTTCATAGCTTTCTTGATCCAAGTCCTAGCTAAATTCGAATTTCTGCTTTAGGCAGTGTTGAGCAGTGATTAGTGTTTCACGAAAGCAAATTCAAGAACTGTAATCACCACGCAGTCTCCGTCGCCGAACGGCCGCTGCTAATACTAACGAAAGATGTGGGGCGTACGCACCATCACAGTCGCGGCAAGATTTGTCTTTACTGTTTTTTTTTATGTATACAATCGTGCAAAAACGAGAAAACCATATCTCAAATCATGTGCAGCTAAGCTAAGGCTTCTAGAGCTGAGCGATTCCCATTGCGTCTTCACCTAAATCTTCCAATTTTTCTTCACAGACACCGATTTTTGTACTCGCATTGTATTGGTTTATATTCATCGTTACAATCTAGTGTCTAATTAGCGATCACAGGTCCACACTATTTTATTGCTTCATTTATTACCGTACAATGTATTTTTAGGTCACAATTCTGGAGGGGAAAATGATTACTCTGTCTGGTGGTTGTTATTTATATGTCAGTTAATTGCCGCGGGGATTAATTATCGGTCTGTTACCAGATTCAAGGAGGCTGCACATTTATCTATACAAGATTTACGATAACCAGCTTCTTGCGAATCGTATCCGCTTCCAGTCGTCAGCTATGACAGCCCAGTATTCCCTGCCTAAAGCCTAAATGAGGAATGAATAATTGGTTACGACCGAAGTCGCCCATGTTAATAGTCGCGTGTCAGGAACTGGCGCGATGACCGTGACAGCTGCGGGTTGTACCTAGCTAAAACTGGAAACCTTGCTGAGGCATATTCGTATTCGGCTCAAACTGATAGCCCTCCTGTCCAACCTCGGGCATCAGGTTCTGATCCTCGTCTGCTTCATCTGAGAAGTACTGGTCGATAATGTCGTATGCCAATTTGTAGATCTCTTCATTGTCCGAGTTCTGTAGCTCTTCGATCTTGTCGAGACCGCCGCACTCTTCGATCTGGAAAACAACTGCGGAATAATTCGGTTCCGCACCGTTTGGCTGCCGGCTCAGCCGAAGTAGATTGGTTAGGGCGTCAAGGACAACTTGCAAAACTTGTGGGTCACTAACAACTAGCAGATTACACAGGGGCGCTACGACCCCGTGCTCGATCAGAGATTCGACTTGTTCTCGTGAGCCAGAAATGGTCAGATTAGACACAGCCCATGCGGCCTCTTTCTGCGTTAGAAAATCACCAGCCGACAAATGATGCAGGATAAGTGGCAGCAGACCCATGTCAAGTACGGCCTGGACCTGGTGTTGATTACCGGCGGTGATATTCGACAGAAACCAGACAGCCTCTTTGTTAATCTTCTCTTTCGGGTGTTTGAGTAGATCATGGAAATAGTTAAGGGCACCAGCATTGAGTAGGACCTGCGTTTGTTCGTCAGTTCCCGTAGCAATATTGCCAATGGCGCGGAGTGCTGCTGTCTGAACTTTGACCTCTTTGTGAGCAAGGTGCGGAACAAGGTTTTGAACGAGGCCATGGTCGATGACCATCTGTATGACATCATTGCCAGCATCTGTCAGATACGAGATAGCCCATACCGTGTCGACAAGGATGTTCGTATCTGAATGATGAATTAACATTGCAATTGCTGGCAACAGCTCGAGCACCGTTGGCACTGGCGGTGGTGGCTCCTTGTTTCGGCAGAGGTTGACCAATACCCAGGTAACGTTACGCAGGAACGACAACGACGTTTCCGCATTGATAAACCGCAGCAATGGCTGTACAACGCCTAACGTGATGCAGTAATCACGTAACTGGGGCCCATCTCCGATGATGTTCCCTAGTGCCCATACCGCTTGCTCGCAAACGTTGCCGTGTGGGCTATTGAGAAGATCGAGAAACAACGGTACAGCGCCGACTTCGACCACGGCTCGAGTCTGTTCCGAAGTTCCGGAAGCTATGTTGGTTAGGGCCCACGCAGCCTCAAATTGCAGGGTTGGCTGCTCGTTCTGGCCTAGACAGTGAACAAGTATAGGAAGGACTCCTGTACGGATCAGCTCGTCGATGGGCGGATTTCTATCGGACGACAAAAGTTTTCTCGCCGCCTGAACTGCAGCTAACTGAATGTTTGGATCGGTGGACCGCGCATCAGTGACAATAGCCTCCAAACGTTTAGCGGCATCCACGCCTTCGGTACCGAGGGCACCAACTTCGTCTGTGTCATCTTCGTCACTGGCCCCTGGCACCATTTCCGGAACGTTCCGACGTTTCAAAAGAGATTCCTCGCGCTTATTTTTACGCAGTTCAACCGTCACTTCGTTGCGCCGGCGGCGCATTTCCTCTGTGTCCTTGCCTCTGTTTTTGTAGACCCCCAGACGGCCCGACTTGTTGGCATCGTCGTTTTTCTGCGACGACATTTTGATTTGTTGGGAACGCTCCTCACTTCTGATGCGAGTACGATGAACAATACGAAAACTGCCAAACTTGGTAGTACACACTGGTGGGGTTACTACTTTGATAAGGCGCACCTGCAACACAAAGCAATAGGGTGACATAATTAAAGTGATTAGGTTTGTTTACTGGATTGTGGAACAACATGGTAGAAAGTCTAGTAATTCAATGATCTTATCGTTTTATTATAGCCATTTTAAGGTTATTTAGTCGTTAATATATCACCTAACTGTGCTGCCGAGACGCCTTTAGGTGTCTCGTATATCTACTATGTATATCTCATATCAGATATGTGTACCTACTATTTTAATGCAGTAAAGACGCTTGTTTCCACACGAAATGTCCCGATGCATAATCTTTGATTGTTATTCCACTCTTACAGGATAGTAGAAGCGTGTTGTTTGTAAATAGGATACCGTAAATAAAACTGGTACGCTAACATGTGGACTATTCTTGGCATCGATTTTCATTGCTGTTAAATTATGATATTGCCTTTCTATAATTGTTTTGTGCAAGGAGAAGGATCAATTATTAGACCTAAATCAAATAAACATTTTGCAGTGTAATCACGAGTTGCTAAATACCTAGATGAAGCAAATGACTACAAGCAGATAAATGTGGTTCTAATTATCTTGAAAGCTGCGTATCGGACTTGAGAAGTGATGGATTTGTGCTCAGTAGCCTGCACCCACTTTAGATTCACTCCATCCTCAACAAAGCACACTTGCCCTTATCAATCCGAAATCGTGGCTTAATATTACCTGTGAGTAGAATTGTCATCAGCAATATGCTTTAGAAGAGATCGGATTCAAATGCAAGTCATCTTTCCTTAGTCTGAGGCTTCTAGCCATTGTATTTTCTTCAACTCGGAGATATATCCTTCATCGACAGAACGCATGATATACTATAAACTTTCGGACAGCCCACATACATGCTACACGAGAGCCATAGTCATTCACTACCAACAGCCAACACACCTACCTTGAGTTAATGTTAAATCGCGATTTCAGTTAACACAAAACCAGCTGGTTTCAGTTGCGAATAATGATATCGCCGGTTAGCGTTCGGAGGTTAGAAAGCGCGGAGATCGCTAACGATCCCTGCTACCGCTAGCGGGAACAGCTTTCTCAAATCCCGTGCCAATTAAAATAGTCACAGTCTTGCAACGCCGATAGTGAACGATCTAATTTTTCTGGATTTCAGTAGAGTTCAACACGGTATAGCACGGCACGACACAGCAAAGCTCAACACGGCTAGCTAATCGACGTCCCGTCAAGCAAATAGCTTAAAATTAGCCAAGAAGTGCCTACCGGCGAGCGTGAAGAGGTCCTCGCTGCCTCGGGCTCTAGTTGCCTATGCCACGGGCGGCAACAAGATATCAATCGCGTAACGTTCCAACGCCAAACGAACGAGGGGAGATTCAGGTTTAAGTCAAACTGCTGTTGCGTTTGTTGTTCGCTGCTTCTGCTGCGAGCGTAGACGACAATCCACCAGTGAGGCTGTTATATACACACGGACAGACGGCCAGACGCACGACAAACAGACAGCTTTTTCTCGCCACCGATTAACGAACTTTGCATTTATACTGCTAATAATCGAGGCTGTAAAGTGGTAATACGATATTTCCCGTACCGCTGTTGCGGCTGCCTTAGCAGGAGTCTGACTTACTAGCGAACCGTAGTTGTACGTGCAGCTGTATGTCCGACACGAGGAACTTGTCTGAACATTTGTCTGTTGATGACAACTTCTCAGTAGTTGTCGATAGTCCGTTGATTAATCAACAGAGCTACAAACAGACCGGTAACTACACGGCTTTCAGTGTCGGAAATCACTACACAAAGTGCTGTTGTGGCCGATCGACATCAGCACCACTTGCACAATTAGAAAAATCGACACTATACGACCCTGGGTGGATAGAGATAACCCACAGCATACCATCAAACATCGGCAACAAGACCACAAACAATCACAGATACCAGAATCTCTCGTCTTGCTGTCGATTGGCCACCGATACCAAAGCTGCTGGTAGTTAGGAGGTATTTAGCTGAAGTCCGTATGTCTATCCATCCACCGAAATGCTGGTATCGTCTGCTAACATCGAGGTCTGGCGGCCTACAGAGAAACTTTCCAGCCAGTGAAAACAGCGACTGCTTCTGCTGCTGTTGCGTCGTTGTCGTTTTACTAACGCCGAATTTGACAGACGAACTAACTGACTACACTCAAGCGGTTGTTTCTTTCCCCTCTAAGAAATTTTCACATGGTGGCTGTCACTTGTTGCGTATTGGTTTTTACGAACCTACACTATAGATAATCGGATACGCAAAGAAAACTCAGCAGCGGCGATATACATAGGACTAAGGTTAGGGGGCAGTCCGCGGAAAGCAGAGTATCAGCAACACTGGGTCGATAGAATCATTCTCTTTTGGGAAATAACGAAAGGACAGTAAGAAGAAGCATATGCTCATTCGTCATATAAATTAAATGAATACAAGCAAATAGTGTGATAACTTTGGCTGTGTGGTTGTTGACCTTAATAGAAAAAAAAAACTAGCAATTTTGTCGATTTTTTGGTTGCCAGTGTACGAGTACTTCGGTGGCACGGTTGTAGTCATACATTAAGGATATAAATCATGTGGTGCAGGTGTTTTGCAAAAACTAATCGCTGAATTTTTTTATTCATGTATTTAAGTGTATATAAATATAGCGAAGAGCTTTATCTTAATTTGTCACCAACGGCTGGCCTTTATTCGTATCTAATATATCACACCCTTATGTAAGGCTAAAGCAGCCTTGATGAGTTTTAGCTCCATAGCATTAACTCCGAAAGGTGGAGTGGAAGGCGTCCATTGCGTTAAACGTTTGTTTAAAAACATTATTTCTGGGAGAGGGTTTTTGCGAGCACGAACATTCGCGTACTATCGGCTATTATTTTTGTCTGCGCTGCACGTGTTTGACCGCGGCAGTGGCCGCCAAGAATATCGAAAGAGGCGCGGTCTTTTCTCAATAATTTTTAAATAAGAAATTTCTCCATATTCCCGCGAAGTATGCAAATGCATTGATTCCCATGGACCCCTCTTCGCTGTATCGCACTAATTAACTACGTTTCAAATGATCAACTACACGTCTAGTAGTAGTACAAGTACTTGTTGTCAGGGTGGTGCTATCGTCTTGCGACATCGTGCGTGACATATCCTGTAGACTGTAATGATAATGTTGCACCGAATTCGAGTGTACAACCCGAGCCCGGTGGCAGCCAAGTGTATGACAGGAACACCGGGCAAAATTGCCCTTGGCCGTGATGACGGCTCTATCGAAGTCTGGTCGACCAGGAACTCACTTTTTTGCATAGCTCAATTTGACTCGCCCTTCAAGTGTGTGGAAGCGCTGGCATTCGCTAAGAGCGTTCATGAGGAGAAACAGCTGACGTTATTCTCAACGGGAATCGATGGAAGAATAATCAGGTCAGCCTTGATTTGCTTTATTTTTTCTATAATTGTCGTCATTTATTATTAGACACTTTCGTTCCAAAGTATTGCTGCGTCTCTACGACAGCATTTTTACGCCGAAAGATGGGTGTTACCTATTGTGAAATTAGTTATGTAGTACTACTCGTATTTTAATAAATACTGTACTGTATTATATTATAAATAAAAATAGTTTCACTAGGTGATTTAATAACATTTAATATTTTGGTCCGTAGCAATGCGGCAGTATATTTAAAAATTAAGATTGTAACGCATGCGTTGTCCTCCTTGTTTTAAACGTTCCTTTATTCCTTAATAATAGCTCAGTTGTAAAATATAAATACAGTAAAAAATTATTCGAACACCTTTTGTTTCTCTATGCTTATTAACCATTAACAAGTAGTTATGCTCAGCGTGAACTTTGCCAACTGTACGTTGTCTGAAAAAATAAACTGTTTTCATGAAATAATCAATAAATAATTTTTCTCCAAATCGGAGACCTATTTTGATTTACTGTAAGGTCGCCAGGGTGGACCGCATGAACAGATATAGGTAATACATTTTTTTGTTTTTCTCAGCGTCGCTCAAGTAACGAGGTAACCTTTTGGTTAAGGGTTTTGGACACCTTTGTTGTTTTTGTTAAACAAACCATCCAAAACATTAACAAAAGAAGTAATTATAAAGTATAAAGTTAGCCACGATCCTGTTTATTTGTTTTTATATCAGTATTAGCCAATTTCAATTTTTAAGGTCGATTCATCAATTGTAATTGTAACTGTAATTGTAAGCTTATTTCTAAATAGGAGCAGCCAAAAAACATACGATTTGTTCGATGAAGCTAAAATAAAATTCACCCGAACTATAGAATGAAGCGTAAAGATTTTTCTCAATTTGCAGGTATAATGGACAAGGAAAGGTAGAGGAAGCCTTAATGATTTCCGGATCTCCCATCTGGTGCCTGGCTACATCTCCCTCTGGTAAACGGCTTGCTGCTGGATCAGAGGATGGGTACGTCCACATCATTGACACAACTCAACACGTAATGGTGTCTACAAGAAGGCTTCAACAAAAGATAGTCGGTGAGTTGACCTTCTGATATTTTATTATTTCATAACTAATTAGATTAGTTTGAACGGGAAAAATATACACATCAACTCGGCTTTTTAGCCTGTTCGCATTATTTACTCAGGTGGGTTTTTATGCAAATAGAGTCATCATAAATAACCGGTTCTTCAGATACCGGAAATAATAACCTGTAACAGTGTAAAACTGGGGAAGGTCTGGAAGGACTAATCTACATTCATGGTAAAGTTATAGTCCTTGCCTCTTCATTCAGGCATTAATTCTTATTGATATTATTAACTACTATAAGCTCTTCAATGGATTCGATTATAAAACCACAATTTCACACATCCAATATTGGAGTGTGCCGCGATCTGTCATTGAAAAATTGGAGAAAGAAATATTTTATGAAACTAAATACAGATCACATTGAAAAAGATAATTCGGTGATGATTTTTTTAGATGAATACGTGTCATGATCTGTGTTTGTATGTTTCATGTTTGATTCTCGACCTAAACACAGGCCGCATTCTATCGTGTCATTGGTTTCCTTGCGAGGAAAAACTTGTGACTGGATCTCTAGACTCGCTGAAAATTTGGGACGTCGAAAAGGAGCGCGCTATCGAGAATATGACATTATCACGGGTCAACCGCAAGGATCCGTCGCTTGTCTTCAGTGTTGTCGTTGTTGAAGAGGGACGCACTATTGTTTCAGGCGATTCTTGCGGACGGATCATCTTTTGGGACTCGCACACAGGCAGCCAGATCCAGAATTTCAAACTGCATGCGTCTGATGTATTGACTATGCACGCATTTGATGATGAGGTTTTCGCAGCGGGGGTAAGTTTCAGAAAAAAACCTCTAAATGTGCGTGAAATATCCCAGGTTTTATTGTTGTTGTTGTGTTACAAATGTATACATTATTAGGTATGTTTTTCTGGAAATGCGTAGAAAAAAAATCCTACCCAACTTCTGGATATATTGCTTTATTTAAAATCCTAATGAGAAAGGCCTAGCGGGCTTTGTGATATCTGATCTATTAATTTGACAGATTACCAATTGATTAAAAGATACCAAAAAAAAGTATCTACAGAAAATAGGCTCATTCACTTCACAGCTTCATGTTTGCTCTTAATTTTTGTTTGTATCATTTTCGCTGGAGTCTCTGCATGGCACTGGACAAGGAAGACAATTTAATTAGGCAGTGTGTGTCTGGTATCGTGTTTTGTCTGTTCAGGTCGATCCCGTCATTTTTCGACTGTACCGCAGTGAAAACCGCTGGCTACACGAAAAGATCATCCAATCCCATACACATGACATCCGTGCCCTGTGGCTTCAGGATGATCGCCTTTTTTCGGTCGGCGTTGACGCTCAACTTGGTGTTATTCATCTGTCATCGCCCAACAAACACTTCCAGCGAATCCTTCCGCCAAGTTTTTCCCGTAATGTAGAGTGTGACGATAATCTGCTACTGTTCAACTACGGTACCCATGTTGAGCTGTGGACAACACAACCTGGAGAAAAACTCAAACTGCTTGTAAAGCTCAAGGCATCCATAAGTTCGCCATTTCGCGTGGTGCACATTTGCAGGACCTCATTTGCGGTAGCAAGCGCCACAAAAGTGATGATCTACAAGCTATCACTATCCCGTGACAACCGTCTGGAGGGCTGCGAGAAGATCTATTCGAACGAGCTACCAGATGATGTCGCCGTTCGGAGTCTCCTGCTTAGTTCATCGGGCAGGAGGCTCTTTATCGCTTTGCAGGACGGTCGCCTGATTTTAGCCAACGTTGCTGAAGAGACAATTGACACTAGAGCGCGTCTAACGGGAGCATCTGTGACGTGCTGCGCTGCAGGGCCGCAGTTCGTCGCTTTTGGCGATTCGCTTGGAAACGTCACACTCTATGATCACGATCTAAAGCTCAAATGCAGTTTACCGAAACACTCGACCGCTGTCCCACTTGCAATGCATTTCGAAAATGATCGATTGTACGTTGGTTATGACGATCTAATTTTCTATGAGTTCTGTACAAGAGCAGAAAAATACGCGGCCTGGAGTGAGAACTGTCTCAAGGATCAAAACTTCGAAGCGCGAGTCACCCAGATCCGTAAAGGCATGCTGAGCTCCGACGGGCTTCGCGACATTGTATTAACTCCATCAAGCGACGTCTTGCTAGGATTCGAGGCAAAGGTGTGCCTAGCTAAGAAGGCGCTTCTGCCTACTGATTGTAAACAAGGCGTCGCCGTTAGTCCGGATTTTTCTAACGCGGTTAGGCTTTGGCGCCATTATGATGACGTAGCCGTCTGCGAAATTAGCGGAAATCAGCTCGCATTGAATTTACCACCAATTCTTAAAAAGAAACGATTTGTTTAAGTATCCGAATCATTTGGACTCCGTGGTATGGTGCCTGTCAGTTCTGTACATATTTTTTCTGTGGGATAAATCTAGAATATTTGAGCGTTATATATTTGCTTTGGGTTATGAGAATGTCACAGGATTATCAGGATCGCTGTGTGATGCGAGTTTAAATAATCAACCCTCAGCCGTTAAGCGTAAACAACGATATGAGAATTCAATTAATTTCTCATTGTGCTAACCATGTCATACGTTGTCGATAACGGAAATATGTGCGGTGCAACGGCGAAGAAGGGGGTTAGTGTAAGATAAAATTTCACGTTGTAGGTACATACAGTGTCACGCTATTGGTCTATAGGTAGGTTTATCAAATAAAGTTAATAATTGTTGGTTAGAACCGGTACAGCTTCATTAGTTTGTTCTATTTCAGTAAATAGTGAATGGGGTAGCTAAATATTTTAGTAGCTAATAAAAAATACCGGACCGTTAAATCAACGAGATCGATATTCAATCTTTGGAGACTGTTGGAGAAACTTGATCGTTTGCCATTTTATGTCGTTCCCCAATCATTAGCAGTTCTCCTATTTATAAAGCTGTTAAAACTTTTTTTTTTATAAAACCGGTATTTTTTAACTCTGTAATCTTTATCATGTGATCCAAGGTACCTTATTTACTATATCTTTTTAAGGGTGTTCCGCTCTGGATTTATAAAGTTAGCGAAGCCGATACAAAGTGGTCAAAGATTCTTCTGCCAACAACAGATTTTAGTCCTCCTCCTCCTCCTGCTAGCCTTCATAACACAACCAGCTAGTTTGATTTTATTTACTAACATATTTTCAAAATTGTATGAGGCATCCCCGTCTCAAGTCATCTCGTAATAAACAATTTTTTCCTCTAAACAACGTTATCTCCCTTAGAGTTGTTAGTTGCGATAAATCTCAAAGCCCATAAGCATATATCACGTTGAAAAATAGCTCCAAACGCCGCAGTGTCGAATGGGTCACCCACGCATTAGTTGATGATAGCGCATGTCGACAACAGGTGTTGTTTAGAGGGGGCCGTCACACAGTCTTCTTTAAACTTACATGGTATTCGTTATAAATAATTGATTTAGATGCTTCCGTAGATGCCGCATCAAATGTGGCCACTGCGGTTCGTTCTTCTTTCCAAGATCATTCCAAAGGTAAATGTCTCTAGCAATGGTTGCTAAGCACGAGTATGTATCAGGATAACCATATAATGTCACCGATGTTGCAGAGGTAAGAACTTCGCTGTATGAGGACGGAGGTAGCCGGGATTTGAACCTAGCCATAAACAGAGACTTTGATCCTCTAGTGAAAATCCTAATCGAAATTAAAAAAAAAACAGAAAGCAACAAATATAGTAATTTGTTCTCTTATTAGGGTACTTTAGATTGCTCATATTGGGCCCCTTTACGCCCGAGAGGTCCTTAAGACACTACTGCAGCAGTACTAGCAAGACCTGCTGTGAAAGGATTAATAAGAGCGCCAAATCACCCAATTTACCATTGAGCGTCGTAAACTACTTTGACTATACATAGCTATAACCTGTTTAAGTATTGAAAGCCAGAAAAAAGTACCGGTCCGTTTGTGTTACACTAAAAATAATCACACCCACGAATCGAGATATTTTGACCGCATTGCCAATCGTGCTTGAGTCAAATTCCAGACAAGCTTCTCCAAATGTGTATTGGTTCTATTTCATTTGCCATTTAATAGTGTCACCAAAATGCGATTTCCAAGGTAAGGGGTTAGCACGACAACGCGACAGCGTCTTTAGTAAACTTTCATTAGCGTACATTCATAAACCTGCGCATCGCAAATAGAATATTAGATTATAAAAGGCATAGCCCTTAAGGCTTATGTGCGTTTATGGCAGTTTGTTGTGTCCTTTGAACGTTTCAGTATAGCTTTTTGTTTTGTTTGATCGTGGCGAAGTGATATACTAAATACATTATAGAAAGAAATGCATATCTCGACGTACCGCTAAATCGCTCTAAGTATCATGTGTTTGGATTGTGTGTGTGTGTGTGTCAACTATGCGCGCCTCTACCTACTATACACATAGCATCGCACCGACGGCGGTCGTTTTAGAGCTTTTGGGCTGGGGCGAACCTTAACACGGGTCGGGCGTCGGATTTAGCAGCGATCCATCGTTAAATATACCGAGTTACTCTCACTACTGGCGCTGTTGCTGAAGCTGGTCTATGTTCTCGCCGAGGCTGTGGTTGTCGACATAAGTTAAATGATGCTTTATCCGGCATCGCCTGTTTACCAAAGCAGTTCATTTAAAAAGGAAATCCCCTCTGATGCGCATCTTTCCCCATATATCAAAGCGTAAGTCGGAAATTGCCATCACCCGAATCATCGTTGCTGGTCAGCGGCTTACATGCTCTGTTTTTTTACCTTTGCTGCTTTGCAAGTACTACCGCGACGAGAGCAGTAGTGCCCGCTAGCTATCTTTGAGGCAACCGCGTGGCCCACAGTCAGTCAGAACAAACAGGCATCTGAACGACCGTACAGCATGATGCTGTACTGTCGTTCGAAAATTCTCTTTAAGCGTGTAGCGGCTCAGCGTGTGTCCTCCAGCTCGCAGCTAATAGGGAAGAGTCGTCATCGAACGCTTGTTTTTGCTGCTGTTACTGCTGCAGTTTTAGTCAGCCTAATTGAATCTTAGGAATGACCGTGTAAGCGGCAATTCAGCAATACAGGCCGCTAAGCATGGGCCTGAGGTTAGTGCTGTTGCATTTGCCGCTGACGCTGGCGTTGTCACCATAACCCAGCGCCAGCTTTACCGACCCGAACACTATAAGGCCTTTATCCTGCATTCGGTTTCATATACGGCTAAACCACTTTCGACAGCGGTCATTGAGTCTTGTTTGAGTTGGCAGGCCATGCTTACAAAAATAACTTTTGTTTATGACGTGTCTCACCTATGATTAGGGAAAACAGAAGCACCTCGTACGAAATATTTGAATGTACGTCAAATATCTAAGTTTATAAAATGTCATATGAACGCACGAAACGGCATTGTGCATACATCGTTTAATCGGCGACATAATTATGTACGCCCCTTGTTCTACGAAATGAATGAGTTTCAAGCTAAAGAATAAACGAGAAGTAAGCGAGCCAGTTCTTTGATATCATAAAAAGTATATATTTTATGGCACTTAATTTTTCAATCCAAGTCTATGTGAATCTCAATAATTAAGCTTTTATCTAGAAAGTAACTTATATAACACTGGTTCTTTACGACAAACCCTTGGTTTTTTATAATTGAGGAGGAATAAAATAGGGAATAAAAACTATCGACTTAAAGCAAACTCACGCTACGACCTCTTTAATACAGCCTCTTTAAAAACAACTATCATTATTACAGATGATCATCTGTGTTCCACTTGATACGCAACACAATGAAGGTTTACGAAGAAAATACAACTTCATTCATCAAGGCCCCCCATATACGCACTACCAACCTCCAAGGACATTATATTCCACACAAAATACTTTTGGCTCATTGCCAAATCATCGACTATTGTAGTTCTGTTCTAAAAGATATCACGGCGCTCTCTCTGAAACATGACACAAAGCGGAGCGTGACGAAAAATCAAAATAGAACCTGATTCGTGACATAAGACATGTTTTTTTCTTGTAAAAATTCTTTTAGTCTCTATTAAGCCACATCTTTCAAGCGTGCAAATGCATCTGTACGCAGATGGAAGGCCTTACTTCAATGCACCAACTTAGGCGTAATTAAGCGTTGTTAAGGCACGGCCGAATAAGGATAGACAATAAGGAAAAAATTATTTTCTACTAAGTGAACATTGCACATTGCAATTAAAAAGCGGCAGAGGACCGTATGAATACAAGCGGCCATTGTACTGCCATACAAATCTACATGAAATGTCTAAGTTTCCTACTGCAGATGTTTAAAGTAACTACCTCTGCTTGATACACACCGCTAAAAACGGAGGTTTATTGACTCACAGTCTTCGACAAACGCTTCGTTTGGTATTGTGGTTCATTTTTGGTCAATTGTGATTTCTAAATCTTTCAGTATCATTGGTTTTCTGGCATAGATTATTTTTAAAGTATTACCACGAGAAAAAGCGTATTTGGTGTCAGGTCTGGGGAACGGGGATGAAATTCTATGGGACGTGCCCGTATAACCCATTTATTTGAAAGATTTTCATCGAAACATTCTTTTACATCACGATGACAGGGCACAAATGCTTCACATAATCGTGATGAATCGTAAATCGCATACATAGGCTGGTGGTTTTCGCGATATATATATATATATATATATATATATATATATATATATATATATATAAAGGACTAGAAATCGCTGCTTCAGGCGATGCGTACTACACAATATATGTGAATAAAGAAAGTAATTTTTGAATTTGTCTTGTTCACTCACGCCGAATCTTTTTCATTAGCTACTATGACCTTATCCGTTGATGCATTTTCTGCAACTAATCGCCTTTAACCCGAAAGGTACAGATGTTAGAAGCGTTTAAACCCAGGCTTCAAACTTCGACAGTCTTTGCACCGATTCACCATCTTCTTCACTTGAGGGTATTCACCAAAGCCGACATGATAGCGCTTTTGTACCCGCTGTACAGGTTTTCCAATGTCTGCGTGCCCACTTGTACCCCTAGAGGTATACATCCGAGTGGCAGGACACAATCGCGACTCCAGCCTGGGCTTGCGCGATGCCCGACAGCGGTGTGACGCACAAACCCGTTGACGAGTACGAAACCAGTAACATCTGCTTCTAAATCAAATCTAACGATGATATCGCTTGAACGAGAGTTCGACCAGTGCAGTCTTTTGACACCCACGACCTTGACGTTTTGCAACTAGACAAGCTAACGCGACTCCTTTGTTCCCCGCCACATTAGTGCACGGAAACTGGCCGCTGTTAGCGCTAGGACACCCAGTTTGGAAACGACCTTGCACATAACAGCAGACACAGAGGCTTGATCTACTACGCATGCTGGCTGACCTTATCGATCGACCTTCTGTCACGTATTGATACACTAGCCACGTGCAAGCCTTGCAAGGTTCATGATTATCTCTATAGGTACTCTACTGTGTGGACCAGTAGTTTCCGTGAAAGCCGCTCGAATGAATGAGTTTTGAGCTCCTCGTGCGTGTTCCATCACAATCCCCTGAATAAGTATTCGGCTGGGAAGGCTATGGGATGGTCCATAACCAAGCCCAAGGAAGTATATGAAGTATATGGAGCATACCATCTTGTGGCTTTGTCGTCGGCAGGACCTCGAAACATTTATATTGATTTCGGCAATCGGAAGAGTCGAAACCGTTTATTGTAAGGCAAATCGGCTTGCACTTGACATTGCCTACCGACGGCATCGTACCTGGTGAAGTAATTCGTGGGGCTATTTATGCGTCCAAAGCACAGATTTTAGGGTTTGTCGGGCCCAATACAGCGAAGCGAAGTTAGTGAATCGATGAACATTTTGGCCTGACGTATTAGTCCGTCGCCGAGTTTCGGCCCTGCTAGAAGTCTGGGCATGCGCCATTGCGCAAGTCCAAATGAGAGGTTTGAAGATATATACCATTTTTTAACAATACTTCACGTAGTTAGCATGGTACACCGATTACTAATGCTTGAGGATGCTTTGCCATTTCAGCCGCAATGCATCGATTCGTGTCAAGCAAGAGGACCAATTGACCCGTGCTTCGAGGCATCTGCGTGCTTAATTCGAAGAGCCCTAATGTAACAAATATCTATCGCACTTTACGCGGGATTAACACCATCAAATCGTACCTGTGTATACGATGTTTTTGTTCCTTACCTTCTGTGGTACTTGGCCAAAGCCAGTACTCGTTCTTTGGTAAGCGCCCTTTCCTAACAGATTCATCCGCCATGAATTCCAAACGACCCCGACTGAGTTACAAAAGAAAATTACCGTCGCTACAGCAAAAATGTTAATTAGATGTCCTGACGTTACCATCTTTTGGATGTTTACCAAGAAAACTCTCAGCTCGAGTTTCATCCCCGGCTAATCTAATAGAGTTTGCTTGAAACCCACAAAATCGCTGAAATCTCATCACGAAGTCGCGAAAAAACCGTTCTGGCAAAAGCTTTCGTACAACTTTACGTTAAAGCTATCCCATACATCCCTTTTACGGAGTCGAACCAAGGTTGGGTTATTTATTAAAATGCGAATTTATTCGCAGTTATTTAAACTACTAGATGAGACTTTCAATCAGTCAGTTGTTCTGCCTACTAACTCTTTTACGGCTGCATCCATAACGGCTGTCTTCCTACCGCTTCTACCAATCTATATAAGCCGGCCAATCTTTTCACCATTGATAGGAAGGAAAGAGCATTTATGTAACGTTGCGATAGCTGCGACAACCAAGCCTCTAGTTGAAAGAGACCAGGTGTCGCTGTTCGAAGTCCCGCCAACAAGACGTACTACACAACTCACTGAGTAAAAAAAAAGTCACGTGCGTATTTATATATACGTGTGTTGGTGAAATGTTTAACGTGTTTGTTAAACTAAGGGTTTAAATACCGGTGTGAACATTATATATAATATGTATTAGTAATACTAGCAGTAGTACAGACTTCGTGTTGATACGGTATCTGAATCACTTGGTGGTGATTGTGAGGAGCCCCTTTGCACCCGAGCCATGAGCGCACGAAAACTTGCATGACTGACCACTGCGAAATCCCGAAAATCTTGAATTTTCTTTGTTGCTGGCTATATCGATACATCCACGTTGCGACATTGGCGCACTTTACCAATGGAGAATTCATCGGCGCCCGTATGAGGGCCAGCCAATTATCAGCTTGTGAAATATGCAATTCGGTCTACGATTTCACCTTCACCACGATCCTACCGCTGCTACTTTTATTACAATAAGCGCAACATTGTCTAACGAGAACCCACCCTTATCTAACTAAGAGTGCATTTGTCGCTGCCGTCCGGTTATCTGTCGACCGGTTCAGCGGGTTGTCGTCGGCTCGGATCAGTTTTTAGCATCAAGAGCGATCGAAGAAGCAGAGTAACGACGACACACAGCAAGAAGCAGCGCTGCTTGCTGTTGGTCTGAGCGTCTACTCACTAGCAGACAGCGTTAGAAAGACCAACAAAACAGCTGCTTGCCAGACAGTCGAAACACATACGGACATACACTTGGAGCGAGAGACCCAGATATTCGCACGTCGATACAGCGGGCAGCCGGCAGTTACAGCGCACACGCACGCGCGCGCGCGCACACATACACACACCCATAGCCATAGTGGCAATGGCCTGTACATCCAGTCGCTTACAAGCCCGATGTATATTGACTGAGCGTCCATAGCCGTTCCCATTATGGTGTAGCAGTAGCAATGCGTTTAGCTAGAAAATTTAGGAACACAGGTGGTGTAGCTTCGAAACCGGCAGTTGACATAGTTCGTTTCGCGATGACGGCAGCTAGCCGTTTTACGCAGTGCTTTACTATGCTAGTGCTGGGCAGAAAAGCCGACAAGTTTATCTGACCGCGTGTACGCATCATCTCTTTTAGATGAACAGGTATGAAGGCGGCGGCGGCGGTGGGCGCAGCTGCAGTGGCGGCACTCGAGCCAAGCGGCAGTAGTTGAAGCATCAAGCAAGCTGCCCCTCTACCCACCGATAGCAGTGCCACTCTCAGACAGAAACTCATACCCTTACCATCGCTGTGGTTAGTGGCCGCCACTGTTGCAGCCGTTGCTAGCACCAGCGTAGCAGACACCGACAACGATCACCGCGGGTCAAGTTAGCAGACAAACAGACAGGCAGGCAGGCAGGCAAGTAGTCAGTCGAGGAGGATAGAACTTGTCGTCGGCGGCAGCGGTAGCTGCTGCTGCTCATCATTTGGGGCTCTGCTACGGCTGTTTGGGCCACAGCGGCGAAGATCTGCACAGCAGCGCCCACAGATCATTTTGATACATTCAGCACAGCACACACTCGCTTGGAACGGAGAACGCACAACGACGAGACGGAGCCAATAACAACTAATAGCAACAGCATTAGAAAGTGCTGCTGTTCGTCGTCGTCGTCGTCGTCGTGGTGGTGGTGGTGATGTTGGTCGTAGTGCTGACGATGATGTGGATACTGTCTGGCTAGCAACGACTGACTATTGACTGCTCGTCCGGCAACAACAGCAATCGTCGATGACGACGACGAAGCAGCTAATAGTTGGCCTTTAGAGAAGACAAGTCAGTTTGTGCTGATATCGCATGCAGATGCTGGCCGTAACTGGTTTACGTGCAACACTGAGCGCTAGTGAACTGGCCATTGGACAACGGCAGTAACAACAACAGCGACGACTACTACAACAACAACGGCGACAACAACAACGACAACAACAACAACAACAACAACAACAACAACGACGACGACGACGACGACGACGACGACGACAACAACAACAACAACAACGGCAATAAAAGTAGAACTGGTCGTAAATAGGAATCGTTGCAGCTGAGCTAGCCATTGATCGTTGTTATACAACGAGAACTACGACAAATACTGCTACAACTACGGGCATTCGAAAACTCGACAACACAGTCATATAGCAGTAGGTAACGAACTGACCGCGGACGGAATCACATAGCTCTAGGCTCGCTGTGTGTCGACAGGGTGGAAAAAATCGACTAGTCGGAAGAATTGTGATATAGTGATCAGCAAGGGGTGGCAGGGGTGTGCACCTCAGGAGATGGAGCGAACAGCAGCATGAAACGTAGCTGCCACTTAGTGAGGCGTGGGGGAAGTGGTGCACTGTCCGATAGTCGAGTCAACCAGGGCCGCCGTTATTTGACAGTAACAGCAAAAGGAAACAACAACAACATCATCAGCAGACGCAGCAGTAAAGGCCTTTGTCAGGTGCTTTTTCATTGTGGTCATGTCGTGATCGTGCTCGCGTAACAAATGCTCATCGATGATAGATCACAAGGCGAGATAGAACCGATAGACAACAAAGGCAGTGACGACGAAGGCGAGCCTGAGCGAAACGGCCATCACGAAAACAAACGGCAGGACAAGTCCACAAAGAAACAGCGGTCACAACAAGCGCAGGCACAACTGTGCGCGCCGCTTTGCTGCAAATGCAGTTTATATTTAATCAATAGGCAATTATTGCAAGGTAGATTTACTACAGGTGATTGTGTTGCTATTGAGTTATAGCGTTAAAACGCCACACGGCGGCCCCATAGCATGGTGACGACAAATCCGGCAGCGAAAAGAATAGCGCGCATCAAAACAAGAGTACGAATTGTCGAAACAGAGCCGTAACACGGCAGCAACGGCACAAATCGAAACGAGCGGTCAGGGGCAGCAAACGATTGCGGGGCAATTCGGGCCGCCGAGAAAAGCATCAGCACATCAAAACAAGCCTCGGTGGAAGGAACGGCTACACGAGTGATCGGAGCTGAATAGAGAGAGATGTCTAACAGGCATCTGCGAATATCAGTACTGAGTGTATTATCATTGACTGGAACGAACCGCAGCTTTTCGATGCCAACGGGTGGCGTTTCGAGTTCTAGTCGAATTCGATAATTCTCGTAGTCAAGGGGTTCGGAACGTCATCGCTCTATCGAGCAGTAGTGCTCGTGATTCACGCGACAAATTGTCACAGACAAACGATTCGGTTTGACCATCGACGACAAGCATTCCTAGAAAATGCTTGCCTCCACACGAGACAGTGAGGAAGAGGCTTGCTTGTGTCGGTCTCAGACTGACATATGCATTTGACGATTTTGCACGGCGCGTCCGAAGTCGTTCAAATAGCTACTAAGCAAAAAGACGACGTTATTAAATAGCCAGTGAAAATAAACCTGTTGGCCGGCAAACGCTAAGCGAACGGCGGGGGTCACACAACATACGTGAGCGGTTGTTGCTGCCGTTGTTATTGTTATGGTTGTTGTTCAAGTTCGTTTTCTTTACACTGCAGCACTTCCACACTGCGAATAATAAGCTCTATGAAGACACCGTAATAATGTACCGATAATTATTGGTACTTTTACTAAAACGGAGATTGGATGTTCCACCTGTGTCCGATCTTGCCGGCGACCCGCTACTGTGATAGCTACAGCGAATCTATCAGGAAAAGCTGCCTCTTCGTTGACAGATAGCGGTCTTTTCAGACTATCCGAGTTAGTCTGACAGTGAATTTTTCTTTCGTAGCTTCCACCGTCGTCGTTGTCAGTATAAAGGTGATTTATTCACGCGGAATATAGTATGTGTTATATAGTCCGGTGAAGTATTTTCGTGTGAGCCCGCAGCAACTGGCCGGTGCACCAAAATTGTTGGTACTACGAACGCAGCTTTGGGATCGCATAGACAAGGTCCGTTTGATACTAAATGCCCTCATCGTGTCTGTTGTGACAACGGCGAACAGTGCAGAAGCGGCTGATCTTTCCTTACCACAGACACACAAATAATACGAAAACGCCAGCGTGTCTTGAAGCCTCGACTGAATTTCGTGGTAATTTAAAAATCATTGTTTACTGTACAAAGTGGCCATCCAGACATACGAGAGTCGTCGAATATTGTATTTTGTGCAATCTCGTCGTCGCTCAATAGTCTCTCGCGGGGTAGCATTACTTTTTATATAGGGAACGACGAAATGAGCTTAAGGCGAACATAGCGAGGGCAGACTGTATTCGTGTGTGGCTATGCTGCTACTGGAAATCACTCGTAAAACGCTGTCTTCCACATCCAACCAGCAATAGGAGGCCAGAAGCCAATACGCGTCTCTTATTAGTCCTGAAGAAGCTGCGGTAGAAGCACCAGCAGTAGTACAGCGCGCACGTCATATCCACGAGTATTACAAGCATAGACAGGGCCCCCTGCCAGGGCCAATGAACAAAAAACAAATCTGCTCCCCATGTTCTCTTATGCGAGAACGTAGCCTAGACCATTTCGGAACTTCTAATCTAAATTAAAGACAGTCTCGTGGTTCAGGTCTGTTACGGGCAATCTCCGTTGCCTAACGACGACTTGGTAGCTCTCGTCAGAATGGCACTGCTTTCTCCAGATCGGCTACGCTTTCATTTGCCAACGGGCATCGACAGAAAGGTATAGAAAGAAAGTAATAACAGAGAAGGCTTAAGAAATCGACAAACGCTGCAGAGTTCAGGGTGTCACGAGCACGCGAGCGCACGTTATTCACTGCGAAGCCTGGCTACGGTACGTTGTAGCGGGCACAGAGTGTATGGATAGCAGCCACTTTAGAAACGCGTTGGTAGGTGGCAACTGAGAAAAGCGAAGACGACAGAAGACGGCGCAAAAACGAGTATAGTACGACACCGGAAGAAACCGCTTGCTCACGTCCTAGACAGACGTGGTAGCAACGGAGAGCTGGATAATTTAGATCAGCCGGCGGATGTAACTATAGCACTGTCATAAGTTGCACCAAAATCATTAGCTATCATTTTTGGGTCTATTTTCGCCGTAGAACAAGCGGGTTTATGAGCTATCTCGGATCATTCACCTTGCCTTCTATAGCCACAAGCAACCTGAGCTTTCTGTGAGATACCGTTAAAGGAACGTGTCATCGAACCAGACGAGCTGAATAAATATGCACAACGGTGTCAGCAGCGTGGAAGCGTAACCTAGAAAAACCTGAGAAGACGTCCATAGCTCTAGGCACGGTCCTCAATGGCAGACGCTTCCAGATGCTTTAGAAGTTGACCTTGTTTCTTGTCGCTTCTTACCGAGCTATTGCATGCCACAATTGCTGTTTGGAAGAAAGAGTGCATAACTTAATTCAATGGAGTGATACGTCGAGAAATAGTTTACTTAATGTAAAAATAATCGCTAACATCACGACCCCTGTACCATTCGTGCAGCCGCCATTTTAACTAATTAAATTCACGCTAAAACAAGTCCGTCTTCCTTGTTTATATAGCGCTGTTTGGTTTTCGCTAAGCAGTCCGCCTGAGAATTGGTTGCCTTTGCGACCACTGATGTTTTTCCAAGGAGCCACTTGAAGTTTTGCCGGGGACAATCCCATCACAGTCAACAACTGTGACAAAGCGCGACGAGCAGAAATAGAAGACAAGGGGTCTTCTTGTCGAGGCAGTAACAAGATTGTATAGTCGAAATATCTGCGCCGTTTTCGCTGTGTTTTTCGCCAATACCGAGCATTGTAAATTACGCTCCGAGCGATATACGAACTCTTTGATTCTATGAGGTGCCTTGCGCTGCCGCTTGCAATGGAACGCGTGCTACAGTCTTAACAATTTGCAGCAACAGCTATGCGTATTAGATGATCTGCGATGTGATGAAGGGAGAAGATCGACTTTATACCGCCATCAGAATCTTCACTGCGACTCCAACTCCATCTTGTCCTACGGATTCACCGCGGCTGAGAGCTGCCAACACCATTGTGCGCGCAGGACAACATCAGTCGCCACGGGAAAAGCAAGGACCAGTGGAGTGAGGCTCATTGTCTACTTAACCAGAGGGCTAATGCCAGAGAAAACAAAGGAAATCATTCACAAAGAGTTACAGTCCACTCCCGCAATCACCGGTTTACCCCTTCACATCGCTAGTGGACCACACTCACTCAGGGGCTTGCCCGTCTGCACAGTGATCTGCGCCTATATCAGAATACGTAGTGTGTGGGTGCTCGGCAACAAGCTGGCTTTCACTACAGAGCGCGTCTGGTAATATCTATTCGTTGATATAATATAGCAAAAAAAAACATAACAAGACGTAATTTTCTTCCCAGTTTTCTCGTACACGTAACCTGTAGTATCTGTTGTGATACACTGAAAGATGCGTTTGGGTTCAGGTGTTTTTCTGATGCAAGGTTAAAACCGAGCCCACGCAAAAAGCATACTTGAAGCTCGAAAAAGAGAAATATCCCAGCTGTACTAGCCGCAGAGACTAGAAGCCGTAAGCTGAAGTTGAAAAGGGAAGGCGAAGAATAAGCCTAAGCTGTTTCTCTGGGTGACTTGTCGACCAGCACTTCTGATACAGTGTGTTGGTTGACGTCGAATCGTATCCTTCTGACTGGCTGGTTATAAGAGACCTTGGCAGGTATGCACCATACGCAGGATCCATACAACGCAGGGCGCAAACACATCAACGTAAATCCACCTTTCCACTACTTCACATCAAAGTGTCTATGCTGAAAATATATGGCTTAGGGTCGTGTTTACCATTTGGTTTTCGTGCCTCTGATTAATCGACGCCAGCAATTTTCTGGATCAACTGATATCTGTGCCCCTTGTGCCCATCATCAATTCGTATGTTCATAATAATTGCCAATGACAAGTGAAGTACACGAAGTCTGTGAATAAGCAAACCAATGTGCGAGTATTTAAGAAAAAGAATAAGAAGAAGCAAAAGGATGTCATACGCGAAGTAAAACCTTTCGAAGGACAGAAGAAGTCCAGTCTACTTTGTTTCGTGAATTTGTGCAACAAGTATACGCCATACTGATGGATAGCGGAATAAAGTCAACCGAGTATTTGTCGCCCGAATCGTGACCGCCTCTGGGCTTTAGTGTTATATCTACTGCTGCTTCAACTATTTGTATAACATTTTTCATTAATGAGAATAATACCCATAATAATAATAGTTTTGCAAGAACGGAGTTAACAATTCGATCGAAAAGGGATTACAGAACGTGGGGCCCTCCCTGGTCGGAGGTAGGGTCACGCATATAAAATTCGAGTGCAATTGTTCCGAGCATTAGCTACTTTTCAGTCACCGTCAATAACAGCCATCAGAACTCGAAGCACACAAGATGTGGGGCTCGGAAAAACATATCCTTGATGAGGTGAGTATCGTGGGTGTATTTTTCTAACTATTTTTTTGAGCTTTCGTGTTTGAGCTACGGTGAGACATATCTCAACCCGTTTCTCCTATTCGGCCTGTCATGAAACGATTAGGTGGTAGGGTTAGTTATTGAAGACACTTTTTCAACTAGCGGCTGAAAAAGTGTTTCAACGATTTTTATTTAAAATACTTCAAAATTCTGTCATAGAAAACACTTGCAAAGAAAATCAAGTCTAGGTCCGAATCTACGTTACCTGACGCACTCTTGAGATTAGCAGACAAAGAGGCCTTTGTTGTATTATAACCGTGATAGGTTGATCAGGCATCAGCGCAAGGGCAGTGACCTGAAATAGCAGAGACATGAACGTATTATTTTTTTTTGCTTATAATTTCCAGAAGGCTTTTTTAATTTGCCCCTGTCCTTAGAGTCCATAAAAGTGTTCTGTTGTTCTCTATCAAAGCTTCAATTTTTACCGGACATTTGTTGCAGTAATTCAGTCAGGTGGCCAATAGAGGACTTAGATTTACACGTCTTAGCCATTCGATTGCGATGCCTATGTCCATTGGTTACAATTGCCCAGCAAGAACATTGCAGAAGGGTGACATTGACTATGCCAATATTGTTTTCAAAATTCTATCTTATTGTTTATACAAAAACGCGTGTCGAAAATGATTGAAGGTAAAACTTCGGTAACATTGTCTTATTTAAAAGTAGAATGAAGAGAGCAGAATTTAAAAGTTTTTCGGTAAAATACACTACTAATTTTGACAACAGCGACTTAATTATATCAGAGGCGGTTTAAACAAAACTTAACGAAAAACAAACGAGAAAATAAAGTAGGCTTATTTAACGTATGGGCACTTTTCATCTGCTATAGTCTGCTCTGCACGTTCATTTAAGTATAGCAGTTACCCCCTGGATTAGTTTTATCGAATAAATTCATTAGATACGAGGCTGAATACGAACGAACCAAACGTTCGAAGTGTTTTGACCGATCTACCATGATCAGATCATAGTGTATGTTATTATTTATATTATTTACAAGTGTTGCTACAAATGTATTTACAAGTGATTATAAAACGCAGTAAAATATGGATTAAGAGGATGCGTAAAACTATCGGAGTATAGCGAATGGCTACACCATCTAAAAGACTTGCGCTTTGACTCTGACCATTATTAGGTCATCAGATAGTTGCATACAGTCTACCATAGACCGCAAGTGTATAATAACAAAGCAATTAATCTGAAGTTTCTGAGGAGCAGGCCATTGGGACTGGGATAAGCTGAAACTTTTTGGTAGACGTCTTTCTCTGTCAACGATTGCGTACAACAATACACAAAAAGCATTCAAGCGTTTTATATAACCGCTACATGATACATGTTTAGATTCTTCATTAGACAAGTCTACTATTATTATCATAACAAGAAGATATCTTTAGGCCTACTTGTTGTTACTAAAGTTGCCGCCGGCAACGCACGGCAATCGATGTGATGTAGAAATCAGTAATGAGGTCGTTCTCCTTAAAACACGGAAGTAACCATGCCATACCCTCACGGGCCGTTTTCCACGGCTCCTACACATAGTCTATAACTTCTTGCCTAGAATGCACTATCGTGCTATGCCCACTTACTGTATCGTACGGGACAGCCTTGTTTTCTGCTGCTGCGGCCGCTGCAACTACTGCTTGGGCCGCTTCTGCAAGCATATTTACAATGTTAGCTGGACATCTTTCGAATGTTTTCACACGCTTTCAATACGCAGTAATACGACTAGTATCAGGGCATTCATTCATTGCGTCCATGAAGGTTTACCCGGTCAGGAATGAACATTATGCTCTATTAGGTTGGTTGACATGGCCAAACAACTAAAACGCGCCTCTTAGGAAACGCTACTGACGGCGAATAGGACAACAGTCCAAGCTGTTGCCCACGGGCTAAGTAGTACCTGATAGATGTTGTAATGCGCAGTGCCGATCAAGTATGCCAATAAAAAGAGGGTGCGCCGAACAACGTATTATTCGAATGCGTCTGCTTTTGTTTCTATCGTTCTAATTGCCTGTCTGTGTAATCTAATACGTTGGGCCCGATTGCCGGCCGCTCATTCCGCTCGGACCTTCTGCGTCTAAGCAAATAGACCTACATGGACCGGTCAGTACAGTGGTAGATCGCGATCGCAGTTCAATTGGAATTTGAAACAATGAAAACAGTACTAATGTGAGCAGGCACGTTCACCTGTTCGTCCACCAATGCCCCTAGTTCGCTACTTTACGTCTACAGGCACCAAACCCACGGCTAATATAGGGGCAGCGTGAATTGATTGATATTAATTGGAGGTAGGAAGAGTGGCTGCGACAACACGAGCGGCCGTATGAAGTATTTCGGTGAGCGGTGACGGCGTCGTCGACAATATCGGTAACGGCGGTTCACCGCGCGAAAACAAAAGTTGTGGGGAGGACTGTTCCTGAATGGTGGGACTATGTGTTCTGTCTATCTGTCCCCCTCATACAGGGTAGATACGCCTCTATGGTTAACGCAGAAAAGTCTAACCTATCAATGTGGTGAATCCTACTCTGCGTTTCGTTATCGCAACGAACTTTGTTTTTTTTTTTCCCTGAATAAGGTCGTCAACTACTTTTAGGGAATACAGTTTTCTTGTACGCTACGTGTGCATGTCTTTAACAGGCGTATCGAGTATCCATAGGTAAGGTTTCTTATTAAAAGCTAACCTGTAATGTTTTGGTCTCTCTTAGAAGGATTTTCAATAGCGCTAACTTAATGTTAATCTACAGTAGTATCAGTGGTACAGCCAATGTATGATCTCTGTTATATAATTCCAAATCCACCAGCTCCTGCTCTCAGTAGATTCATGCAAATTGTTAGTATTGCCTCACAAGACAAGGCTGTATTGTTAGGTGCAGTAGGTTGTCATAGGACCGGCCGTTAGACGGGTGGTCTCATACTCTCGACACCGTGCTGTTGCTTCGACGAACTAAGGTCTGGTGTCGTGCAAGGATAATTGTACATATCGTTATTTATGTGCATTTGAGCTCGCTCATGGACTAAACTCAATTTCCGATGACATCATACAACTTGGGCGCCTCTCCGTCAGCGGACTGTCCGTTACGCGCGAGCGTGGCGTATATAATACATATAGAGGGAAAAAGAGCGTACCATACAGCGCTTTCAAAGAGAACTGATGCTGGACTGCAGGTTTGCAATAAAAAGTGAATTTTCCATTTTAACGTCGAAGTGTGTAAACTATTGCTATTTAGTATCCTTTCAAAGCCTGCCACAGAACCTGTATTCCATGCTGTTACCTATCCTATGCCGCAACAGTAGCCTGCCGACTATTACTAATGCGTCGCATATACCGTTGTAAAAATCCACAGAAAAGGCCATCCTGAAAAGTATGAATGAGCGATATTTGCGATCTATTGTACCAGTCCTAATTACAAGAAAATAAAGCAGAAGCAACAGGACAATGAAAAAAAGACTTCAGTCGAAGAAGCATCGACGATGGCCGGCGTACCCGTTAGAGGACTGGCCGCTTCATTTCTGCGAGCTATTTCCTGTCATTGGAATAAGAGTGCGTCATAACACCATAATAGAAGTGTAGTCTAAAGTAGAAGACAGAATGTTGATGTCGGCTCTATTTTCTGCAGCTTCTGCTCTGTATATAGACGCTTCAGATGAAGGCTTCCGAGTACGAGATGAATATAAGCATATATAAATGATTTATTCACTGATTACGGCGTTAGCCGTCGTGACTATTTCGATAGCAATATTATCCAAGCGTATTTGTACCTCGTCGTCTACGGTCAAACGCCACTACGCTGAGCCCCGATTGTTTACTGTACGCCGTTGTTATACATTTATTTTGCGTTTTGTTATTGTTGTTAGCTATTGGGATGTAAACATTGCATTGTCCTTTCGCCTATAGCGCGACAATCGTCACAGTATAGTGGCAGTTAATCGTATAGATAGGCTATTGCCTGTAACGGATTTCTATCCTAAACATTAATTAACACAGAGAAAAGTAGGTAGTTTCCAACCGGGCAGCGGTTTCTCTATCTCGTTAATTATAAGCTGTATTCTCGCAATAGCCTTGCGCGCTGTTTGTTCATCACATCGTCAATTGACAGATAAACAGGAAGACAACCGTAGCTGACCGTCTTTAGCGACCTTATTGCCGTTTATAGCTGGTGGTTCGATTGCTGTAACTAATCGTCTATTGTAAATACGATAAACATATTTGCCATTTGGAAATTATTCTAGTGGTGACTGTTCGCTAGGTTGCCGTCTGCAAGCCAAATGGCTGATTGCTTAGTTCACTGCGAAAGCAGCAACTATTCTGCTAGAAGTACCCCTCGCCCTCGACCACCAGCCATTGGCCTGTTTGCGTTAACGTGCGACAGTGGCGGAATTTTTCAAAACGCTCACACTCATTCGCAAGTGGCTTAATTGCTGAACATTCGAGCAGTTCAAACTAACATAAATAGAATATCTCCAATGTACCGAATGTTTCTTTTTATGCATATACACTAACGAATAGTCCCAGGCAGTAGCCTAACTACAGTTGTTTACATCTGCCATCGACCACTATCGCCTACAGTCATTACCACATGAGCATTCACCGTCGGCTGCGCAGCGCATTTCCATGTTATCTCCTGGTAACAAAATTACCGTGTTAATACTATCTGTTGCGCAGGAGGCTTTTCAAACGTGCTTTCCATCGTGGAGAGGTTTGGATGCAGCATATTCTGCGGGAACTGCAAATGCTTCAGTCGTCACTGCGATTTTTGCCTGTGCTATTGTTGTGCTTGCTGTTATCAAGTGTAATGTCGCTTTGGCTTTTGGTGCTGCGGTTTTAAAAAAATGGCCAGCCGGCCAATACTTATGCCGGTCAACAACGAGCCGTGAGTACTGGGTGGTTCGTATGCTGGGGTGTGCCACGACCGATCGGCGTTATTGCGCTGTTCGGCGCGAGACGACGGCCGAAG